GTGCCAAGCTTGGCAACTGCTCCCGGGAGTAGTGGGTGGGAGCTGAAAGACTAGCAGATGATCAGCATTCACGACTACGTCTCAGTCGTTCAAGCCTTTTCCATCTGCGTACTGACGAGCGTACGGAGAGCCTGAGCAGCCATTCGGCTACAAGCACTCGTGCCAAGCTTGGCAACTGCTCCCGTCTATCCCGTTGTATGTGCTCTCCGTTCGTGTTGAAACAGATAGAACCACGCGGCTGCAGGAATATTTGACTTGTTCCAGAGCACCGCCTTCTCAAGGAGAGCTGGGAAAACAGAAGCAACTTGTTGGACTTTTTCACGTACATGGACTTGTTGGTTCACCAAAAAGGTCGCGGCCTCAACTTCTTGAAGATATATTTCCATAACTCTGGGACTCAACCATCGTCCCCTACGCCGGACAAGTTCAGGGTTTTCACACTGCTGCAACAACCATGTTGCACCTCCAGGGCGGAACGAGCCAAGCTCCAGCGCAGGACTACCCGCCTTTTTGGTTTCAGGCAAACCAAGCGCAGTACACACCTTTCGAAAGCGGGCTCGCAACGTTTGTCCAGAGTAAGGCCAGAGACGCGAAGCTGGGTTCAGCTGAGCGAAGGCAATCACAAGGATCTCCATCAAGTCCGGCAAATCCACCTTCGCAGCTTGATGCTTAGCAGCACGACGTCTTGTCTTAGGCTCCTCAATTCTAAGCAAAGCAAAAGGCTGAGAATTCATGACGTCCTGCGGGAGAACCAAATGTTTTCGGGTAGCTGTAAGTACTTCGCCTGGTCTGCAAAGGCCACCCCACATCAATGAGAAAAGGCCGGCTTCACGAGTCCAGCCCCACAACAAACAGGTTGCCAGCATTGCGACCAAAACCAAAGCAGGCAGCGCCATGTGGTGGACGTGCGGCTCCACCGCCATCCAGTTGTAGGCAAGGTCCCAGGCGCCAATAAGTTGGCGCCGAAGGACCGGTCGCGAGGCTGCCACTGCATTTATCAGCTCTGAAAAATGTCCGTAAGGTCGCCCTTCTCGAAACAAGGCCTGGCCGAAGTCGACAAGCAGCTTATTGACCTCTTCAGCATTGACGTCAGAGAGTAGCTCTTCCAGAGTACACGCGCCTGTAGCAGTCAGCCACTTACCGAAATCAGCTAGCCTGGCTTTACGATGCAAATCAGTCTTAGGCAGAACAGCTCGATGTGAAGAGAGCATCATAAATGCTCGTTCCTCAGCTTTTTGTCTGTACCTTTCCAGAGAAGGAGCAGCAGACGCGCCATGGCTCAGAAGGACAAGCAAGACCCCAAACTTAAGAAACCCAACCCTGAAGAGAAAGAGGGGACCTTTGCGGGAAGCCCTTTTACTGCGGTAGCAATCCTGACCCTTGACGGTGAAAGGAGTCCAGGTCCGAAGGACAGTCCAAGCAGCACCAAGAAGGAAAATCCAGGCCAAAGTCCAAGAAAAGAAAGTCCATGCAGCAGGAAGGAGAGGGAAGTCCATGAAAATCCAACGCGGAGAAAAAACACCTGATGGGAAAAGACAGGTGACTGAGCAAAGTCCAGACAAAATGTCTGTGGCAATGATGCTGGCTGAGGCAGATGGCAAGGCAGCTTTTGCGGGAACGCAATGCACAAGGATAAGGACAAGGCGGATCCAATTAGCAGCAAACCTTCGAACACGAGTCTGTGCAAGCTGCTGCTTCAAGGACATAGAGATGTGAGGCAGGAAAGAATGCTCCAGAGCCGGTCGGACCACAGCAGAGCGGGTAGGGTCGTCTGCTATGTTGTGACGCGTCGGGGCGAAAGCCTCACCGAAGTAGACTCCCAAGGCCAAGGCCAGTGCACAAATCTGGCACAGAAGCCGTCGTAGCTTGTAGCTGGACGACCTGCCTTTGACGGACGCAGCGAGCGCCACGGCCGAGTCAAACAGGTGCAAGATCCTACGATCTGGACCGGCAGCGGGCTGAGACTTGAGGAGTACAACAAGCCCACGCATCTCTAACATATTGATGCGCTCATGCCTTTTCCACCTCCACTCCTTCTCAAGTTTCCACTGCCTCCCTGCCAGCAGCTCATTGATAATGGGCGATTCCAAACCTGAGAAGTCGACACCTAGCTCTCTTTCTCTGCAGCGGTCTTTAGTGACGAAGTCGCCATACAGCATGGCAAGTTCCCGAGCAAGAGCATCAGGGTAGACGGCTGAGGCTTTGGTCCACTTACCCTGAATGACGACATGCTCGTGGCCACCTCGACAAGGCCTGGCTATCCTGTGGAGGTCAAGGTTGCAGCCTAAAAACCTGAACTCCTTCTTGTGAACCGAACCAAATTGGCAAGCAGCAAGGAAAACCTCGAGGATCCCGCTGAGAGCCCTGAGTCGCAGCCAGACTTTCAGCCACGCCATTTTTGAGCGACGCGGCTGCTCAACGCAACCCGCACGGGTGTACGTTCGCGCAGTGAAAACCAAAGCCAAAGCACGGAGCGCCAAGACGTTCCCAGTCCTGACACGGGGAATGGAGTGATTGCCCCACGGATCCTCATAGCTTCTGAGCGAAGGAAAAGCAGCTGGCGAAAACGTTGTGCACGGAGGGGACACGAAAACACTTCTCAGTCGCCCCTCCCGGATCATCTCAACCAGCCACGGAATGACATCAGCACTTTGGAGGTCATACTGAGCACTATGCTCCAAGTCAAGAGGAGGACAGCAGGCTAGCCCCATTTCGTTGCAGTAATGCGTGATTTTCCCAGCTCCTGCACAGACTTCCACAAAGTCAAACCTCAGAGGCGGGCTTTTCTGTGGAGCAACAGGAAACCCTTGCAAACACTGCTCTTCCAGGTCAGGGTCACCGACGCTTTTAAGCAGGGCACGAGCTGCGGGGTCCAAGCGCGTATAACCTCCTTTTCTTTCGGCAGTCCTCCACAGCAGCAGGGCCTCGTCAGAAGAGAGGCCCGTAGAGACCACAGCCCCCTTCGCCATGGAGGCGTCTGAGGCATAGAGAGTAGGCTCAAGCTGAGCAACCAAGTTTGTGGCCATCAGAGGGGCCAGGATGCTGCAGACCACAAGCTCGTCTGCAACACCTCGCGAAAGGGAGAAGGCAGTATCCTCCGTGGATGCCTGAACGATGGGATCATGAATGAACTTATAGACCTTTGCAAAGCAGACAGCAGTAGGCCTACGAAACATCATGGCATGAATCCATCCCCCGACCAAACGCTCAATCAGAGCTCGCGATGACACAGGAAGTCTGGCAGCGGCAAGTGACGCCAATGACAACGCACATCTTTTCTCAGCAGGAGAAGCCACTGGCACAAGGTTGTTGCGGACGGCAGACCTGGAGGAATCTACAGAAGCGCCAGCGACTGTAAAAGTCGTAGCATTAACGACATCCTTTTCAGATGAGCCTGCCACTTTGCGCTTGTCATAGGCGGCCCGGGCCAAGTCCAGTCCCTTCTTTGCGATGGTATCCACATCATGCGGAGCGGATTCCAGAGCAGGCAGAACCTTGGTGGACTCCTGGCCAATGATGAAATAATCGTCGATTACCAGACCCTCGAAGGACGGGCCAGGAGGGCAAGGGGATCTGTTGATCAATCTAGATTCTCTAGCCAAGAGCCCAACTTCCTGCAGGAGGCCCTCATGGGCAGACGTAGCAAGTTCCACTCCAGAGTGGTCCCCTGGAACAAACTGCAGAAAACAGGTTGTAGGCTGTCGGTGCGCCCACGCTTCCCACCAACACGGCCTGCGCCAAGACCAGCTAGATGCAAGCCATCCCCCACAGCCTCTCGGCCAAACCTTCCAGACTGCTTTAAGGCTGCACTGGCATTCTTGAAAGACCTGGCAACATTCAGGGGCAAACGAAATCCAACGGCATTAGACTCGGCCCGCTGCGGAGTGATCATGATTTGGTGGTAGAAGTCCCTCCGGTCTGTTATGGCAGCGCACAAAACAGACTTTGTGCCTAACACGATGTTGCAAAGGAGGCTGCCAATGGGGAGGTCTGCCGAAGGCCCAGGTAGGGACCTCTCAATTAGATTAAGAGATCTCCTGTCCCCTATCTGCCTGTCGACCTGGTCCGACTTCCTGCAATTGAACACTCTCACTTTCTGCCACTCATCAACATAGGAATCGGTGAATCCCAAAAGGCCATTTTGATCCCATTTGCGATACAGGGACAGAAGCTCCTCAGGGTGGTCAGTGCAATGAGTCGGGTGAGGCGCCAGAGGCTCTTCAGCCTGAAAACGGAGGACCTTCGGCTCAAGGAAAGGGAGGATCAGGTTTGGCTGGAGGTACGGCAGAGGCCAGAAGCCGGCAGTGCCTGAAAGCTTCAAACGGTCTGCACGCAGGTTGGTGTAGGGCCGCAACTCAGGTCTATCCCTATCCTTTGTAGGGGCACCACCTAAGGGACCACCCTGCTTGTACCCAAAACCTCCAGAAGGACCTTCACGGTCAACAAAGCGGAAAAGGCTCCGCAAGCATGCAGTCAATTCATGGCTCCGCCGTCCAGGACAAGAAATGACCTGGGGGGCTGAGGACCCACACGCGCAGAGGAACCGCCTGATGCGATCAAAAGCCGCAACATGGGAAGGAGAAGGCGGTCTCCGAAGTTCGGCAGGGGGAATCCATTTCCTCCCACAGAAGACGTAGTTGAGGCACATGGCAATGACATGCACCCCTCTTTTGAGCATGAGGCTCTTGCAACGCTTCAACGACAACTTCGGGCCACTCCCATCGAAGACGCCCGGAAATGGCACTGGGAGCGGAAAGAGCGCGGAAGAGGAAGCGGACTCGCCGCTCCTGTGCAGATGGAACGTGGCAAACAGAAAATGAGAAAACTTAGTCTTACAGGCAAGGATGCGGCGAGGCAAGCTAGCCAAGAAGGATGTAAAGGGCATGGACCCGTCGAAGTCAGGAACATCTCCAACGGTCCCAGGCAAAGCAGAAGAGTCCTGAGAGGAACATGGACAGCGGGCAGCCTTTAAACTGTGCTTAGGCGCCGGAGCCGACTTGAGAGGATTGGCAGGGACTGGCGACACGCCAAGCGAACCAGGCACCTTAAAATCCACAGGCGGCAAAGAGCAAGCATTGACAGAGAGAGAGCCGGGCGAATGCACACGGGCTGGTCTATCCCCATAAACCTTACTTCCCTTATTAGAAAGTCCAACTAAGGTCTTAGGGGTTAGGGAGGGCCGCGGCTCGGCAGGCAGATTGGCTTTGGAAACGAGTTTGGGCCGAGGGGATGGGAGAGGCTCGGCGACACGGGCACAGCCAGGGTTAGGGCCACTACAACCCCTATCCAAACCATACCCTAAGGACTTAGGCGTTCGGGCGAACCTGCTCCCAGAAAGAGGCACAAAAGCACAATGCGAATGAGTGGGCCCGACATGCAAGCTATGCTCAGAAAAGCCCTCAAGCAAAGAAGCAAGGCTCAGCACGACTACTCCTGCTTCTTTTGCCACTTTCCCTTGGCCTTCGGCTTTTTCTTTTTCCACCCCCCTTCCTCTTCGCTCAGCTTCGGAGCTGGGGGTGGATCCGACAAAGCGTCCGCCCTTTTCTGAGTAATCAGGTCGAGCTCGCGGAGGTAAGCCAAAGAAGTCGTCACCCTCTGATCGGCTAGGGGAGCAAAAGCTCTTGCCCGGCCCCCCACCGACATGACACTCCGGTTGCTCGTGATTGCTGCTGGCGGCTCTTCTTGCAGCGTCATCAAATAGCCAATGTCGAGATTCCCATTGTCCAGGGAAGCCTGTTCGAGGCAGACACACAGAAGACTCAGGATGTCGAGGCAGCCATCCATATGGCCCGACAGAGCTTGATCTAAGGGGCACCAAGTCTTGGCTTCCTAAGGCAGTGTTCGCCGCTCTGGCGTTTGGAGGGGGACCCACCAAGCCAGCGGCAGCATGAGGAAGCAAGGCTTTCGACGCAGGAGGAGTCAAGCCTATTTGGGCATGGAGAGGAGGCTTCACAGCTGATGGCGCGGCCTTCCCGGCCTCCTCTAAACGACTCTGTCTGTCTGCTAGCTCGTCCAGGCGGGTGTTCAAAGCCGGCAACACCGAGAGGGCAGCTTCCAGGACTGCTGCCGACATGCGCCGTTGGGAGGGCGATTGCTTCGCCTTCGCCTTGGCTTTTCCAGCTGCTGCCTTGGCTTTCGGGATGGCTTCGGTAGCCTCGCCCTCGTCCAGCGAGTAGAACTCTTGGCGATCTGATGCCCGAATCCACAAGTCTACCTGGGAAAGGAGGCTGGGCACATAAGGCAAGAGGGATGGGTCTTCTTGGACAAAAGTCTCGGCTCCATCCTCGGCAGGGTCTACTACCCTTAAATTTGCACAAATGCTTTCGCTGCAATCGATAACAAGCACGGTGATGGGCAAAGCATGTTCCACCAATCTGTCTTCTGCCACAATGGCCGCGCTGCATTCGAAAAACTCCGAAGGCCCTAGAACCTCTGAGGGAGGAGCATTCTGAGAAGTTAAGAGCAGATCCTCGTCGAAGAAATGGGCCGGCACTGCAAGGAGCAAACCACCTGCACGCTTGAGAAGACAGAGAGCCCTGGCCTCGGCCACCGGCGGGCCTCCGTCCTCCTCGGGCCAGCCCAGGACGAGCTGCGCAGGCGAACTCAGAGAAAACTCTGGTACCTCTGAAAGATTCATCTCCTCTGCGGAAAGTCAACGCCAGCCGCGTCACAGTACACTTTCGCCTCCAAGAGCGAAGGGAAGCTGTGCGAGAGGGAAGAGGGGTGGAAAGGCCTTCCCACCAGGTCAAAGTAGGCTCGTGAGGATGATACAAGCACAGGCTGCTGAACAGACGGTGCACGCAACACCACGTAATGCTGGGCTGGGATCTTGAGCACAGGAGAGTGGGAAGGACTTGGTACCCTTCCTGCCAAGGTGGCTCTGGCCCAGTGGCCTGCCACCCACGAACGCGCAAGCCGGCTGGCTCCTGAGCTTGATGCGCTGTGGAGCTGCCCTGCAAGGGAAGCCCAACGGTCAGGCAAAGGAGGGAAAGAAGCGAAAACGTCGCTACGGCTTTCAAGTATTGAAGGCTCAGCCTCAGTGGCAGGAGCCTGGTGTGAAGCAGATGCAGTGGAAGGTGGATTCACGAAGGAGAACCCTGAAGGCACAGAAGATGCAGGCGGGGGCGAGTCAGCCCCAAGGCAATCAACAATGCGACGCTGCGCGTCTACACACAAGTCCAAGGGGCCCTGCACAGTTATCCGCAAGGCACCGATTCGGAAGGTGATATCCACCACACTTTCACTCATGCAAGTATCCAGCAAGCCTGGACCCAGACCTCCGCCGCGGAGGCGAAGTAGCACCTCTCGAGAAGTGCCCAAGATGAGACCTTTCAGCAATGGGCCCCAGGAAGAGCCAAGTCACAAAACCAGCCCCAAGGAGTAGGCCTGTTGAAAGTCCAGCCGCGAAGGCAGGCAAGAGGCTACTACCGCAGTAAATAGGGCAGGTAAGAGTCTGGACCCTGGAAACCAAAGAAAGGCCGAAATCAAGGGCACCTTGCATGGGAGCTGAAAGACTAGCAAATGATCAGCATTCACGACTACGTCTCACTCACTCTCTGATCCCTATTATGTAATCTATATACTCCCTATATCATCCCCGGATATCCCTATGTAGTCCCTTTGTAATCCCCATATAGCCCCATATAGTCCTTATGCCAGCCTATAAGCCATCTGGCGTCCATACTGTTCAAGTAATCTGAGGCTGGAACGCATCCTCGACTTCGAAGGGAGAGATCTGCATGTTTGAAAGAGTTTAAGGTGTAGGGTTTAGGGTTCTATGGCTTAGGGTTTAGGTTTTAGGGTTCTATGGCTTAGTGTTTAGAGATTAGGGAGGTAGGGTTTAGGGTCCTATCGTTTAGGGTTTAGGGAGGTAAGGTTTAGGGTTCTATGGTTTAGGGTTTAGGGAGGTAGGGTTTAGGGTCCTATCGTTTAGGGTTTAGGGAGGTAAGGTTTAGGGTTCTATGGTTTAGGGTTTAGGGAGGTAAGGTTTAGGGTTCTATGGTTTAGGGTTTAGGGAGGTAGGGTTTAGGGTTTAGGGTATCAGGCTGGAGACACACATGGAAAAATGCAAAATGACATGGGAACCGGTTTTGTATATAGGGCTTATACAGGGGCTACAGGGGATGCAGTGGGGGTTTAGGGTTTAGGATATTATCATTGGAGGTTGTATTCAACTGCCCCCACCCCTAACATTGAAAATGGATGCCGACTACATTAGGTGTGTGTGTGGGGGGGGAACCAAACCCGACATCCTAGACCTTAACCCTTGATATTCATATGAGGTAGTGTAGACTCCTAGCAAACCCCTACGTGTGATACTCCCCTATATAATATATACTTTAAGGAGTTCTGACGCCCGCTTGCCTTCTCACCCGCACGGTTGATCAGTTCTTTGAAGCGGCCTTGTCATTCCCCCTTGTGGTGTCAAAATGTTGCTGCGACTATACCCTGGAAAACCTGGGTTGCTGTTAAGGAACTTAAATTAAGTTACCATAATGGGTATATATAGTAAATAATAGGGTTTCCCAACTTAATTTAAGTTCCTTAACAGCAACCCAGAAACTTCTAAGGACCGGGCCGATTAAGTACAAGTATCCATCCTCGTCCAGCCAGCCCTTGTCCCCACCTGATAATAGTAATAAAAACAATATTAAGAATAATAATATTAATATTAATAGTAATAATATTAGTAATAATAATATTATTAATGATAATCATATTAATAGTAATAATAATAGTAACAATAACAATATTAACAATATTACTAATAATAGTAATAATAATAGTAATAATAATATGCTGTCAAACTCGCAACACTTCGTCATCGAACTGCATCTCCAGTTGCCACTGAAAACGCAAATTCAGCCTTCCATTTGAGGGCGGCACTGCGCA